GGGGGGGGGGCACTCTCGATATGACCAGATCCAGCACCAGCGGTAGGCTTAGTGTCTCTGAGGGCCGTAGTGACTGTTCTAACAGGCCTTGATACCGCATGATATGCAGCTCGGGTCGGGGCGAAAGCATTGAACAAGTCTTGTGATCCATGAGCATCATTTCTGGCTGGCTCTGTAACGGCAGCGCAAAGCGCAGTGATTGTGACTTCGTTCTCGCCATTATGGCCGCAAGCGTTGCAAGGAACAACGTAAGTGGTCATCTCGACAGTAGGGACCGGAGGATGAGCACAACTGCTGCAAAGCTCATAAGACAAGGTAGCGCAGTATTCGGTGACAGTCATGGTTGAAGGATTGTTAGGGTCGACGATAGTGTAAGTGACTGTAGTAGCCGTGGCTTCGATCAGGGTTTGTCCTGGCTTTGTGATAGAGTCGATCACTGTTTCAACCGGCTGAAGGATAACAGACTCAGTCATAATATCGGTGACAGTGGCAACTGGCCTGGAGGGGATAGCATCTGTGGGAATGGCTGTGACTCCATCTTGCGTAGTGATTGTTACCTCAACCTCCGTGCTTGTCTCACCAGGTGAAGGAGGCTCGTCATTCAGAGCGTACAAGGTCAAGAGGATATTAGCTGGTGCAGCACGCGTATTGAGCGCTTTACGTGGGCCAACCCAGCGATGCTCGGAAGAGGATACAACCAGACCACCACAGAAATGGCTGCTATGACCTGGACAGGGGATATCACGTCGGCCGTTCAACACCGGGCTGGTTGTATCAAGGGAGTCTGAAGCATAACAAGATCTGTAGAAATGGTTAGAGTCAGAAGAGGGATGGTTGTTTGATGTTGACTTACCGGTCATAGATTCCAACGTAGGCCCGGCCTCTGGCCAAGGCAACGCAGCTAGCCGTGGTCATGTTTGCACCGGAGCCTACAAGGTTGAAGCTCGGGTAACCGTCCGCTGATCCGAGACAACCCTTGTAGGTATACCCACGAATGGTATCGATGTTGGAAGGGCCATCAACAGGGGAGGATGTTGCTGGTGGAGCATCGGACGGGGAGATCGTAGGGGTCTCCTGGGACATGGACGTCACTGGTTCAACTGGAGCAGACGTTGTCTCTGGGACCACCTCTGAAGTCGAAGTCTCAGCTTCTTCTGCAAAAGAGGTACTTGTAGAGGAGAGTGACGGGAGAACGGTGCTGACAAGCGACGATGGCGTAGACTCGCTAGAGGCCTCAGGAATGACAGAGCTAGAAGCGGATGTGCTTGCCGCTGTGGACGCGATCAATTCTTCCGTCGTAGATACGGCGGACTCACTTGTCGTTGTGTATGAAGCAAGAACAGGTCCCTGGTCAACACTGGTTGATGCAACCTCACTGGTCGTGCTGGGAACAGACTTGGTATCAGTAGACGCCGGGGACTCAATTTGGATAGATGTTGTCGTGTCTGCCATAGAGGTTGACACCTCATCAGTGGTGAGCGTTTCCAACTCGCTAGTGACAACAGTCGTAGATTGTTCCGTGCTGGTCGTTTCCTCTGTGGGGGAAACCGACTCAGTTGTAACATCAGCGGTGGTGGTGGTTGTCTCATCGACTACCAAGGTCATCGTTTCAGTTGTTGAAACCAGCTCCATTGTTGTAATCTCATCAATAGTGGTTGTTGATACTTCGCCAGTTGTAGTCGTGAAGCCATCTGATGTAGTCGTTGTTGGTTCAGCAGTGGTGGTGATCGTCGCTTCACCAGTCGTAGTAGTTGTCTCACTAGTAGTGGTTGTCTCATCAGCAGTCGTAGTGGGCTCACCACTCGTGGTAATGGTAACCCTGGTAGGTTCCACAAAAACAATAAATGTACCAGATGCAGTCCCTGAGGCAGGAATAGTAGAAGTGAAAGGCTGCTCTCCAGGGGGCAGTGTCGAGGTCTTAAAGGCATAGTTTTTCTCAACTTTGTCTAAGCCATAATCGCAGTCAACGCAAGCCTCTGCTTGGACAAGGAAACCGGAGTCATTGAATGCATCCCCAACGTCGCAGACGGATATCATCAAGACCATGGCACCACCAGATGGAGCCGGTATCGTTCTCACGAGCGGAGGTGAGGATCGCGTATACCCCGTGAGACTATCTGGTGGGAAGATGGCATCCGGTGCGAGCAAGAAAGGAGACAAGGCGTTGATTTGATTGACATTCGTGTCAAAGGCGTACTGAACCGGGAGGCCATTGCTCGCATCAAGGATCGATATAGCATCCATATTGGCAAGGGCGCTACGTAGAGTGTTAGATGAACAGAGTCCAGTCACGGAGCAATGGGCTGTACCTTGGAGCTTCTTGTGTAGCAAAAACGAATTCGATACGGACTCCGTTATATCCAGGGTCAAACCCCAGCTGAACTTGTAAAGTGTTGATGTTCTGGATCCCTGGAGCACAAAGGTAATCGTACTGGCCACCGGCTCCAACACCATTATCGACGTTTCGATTCCCCATGAGGTAAGCTCCTGTCGCCGTTCCGCTGGTCAGTATGCCTCCACTCCCGAGACCGAACGGTCCATCGGTGAATGTTCCCATGCTTGATTCACCGAGCACAGTCACCGCCATGATCGTGAGACCTGGTCCAGTGAAGATGGCCGAGGCTACTGTATCATAATCAGTTGTTTCGGTGATGAGAAGCAATTTGCCAGCAAGGGGAGTGCCGTAAACACGGCCAGAGACTTGGGGTTGGTGAACCTCATGTTGTTAGTGAGTGACATCAACTCAAGGCCTCAGTAGCCAGAGGTAGAGAAAACAATGGACGCAAAAAAGTGGATGAAGTGAATGAATGAATGCAGCATCATTTTTCACTTGGTCTTGGGTACTTAAATAACCGAAGATTGAAGAAAAGAAAAGTCCTGTCTTGTTTGAATTGTTTCCTCATGTCGTGATAACAATTGTTATTGAAACCAAGTCTGGCTACTGATCTGACACGACCTGACTCATGGGACACTAGCTATACCAGTTTAACCAAAAAAACCTCTGCCTTGCGATAATTATTTTCTAAACTTTACCTTTGATTGCCATAGTAGCATTGCTGCCATCGCCCTGGCACGTAGAATGACATCCTGTAACAAGCATAATGGTAAAACAGCAAAGGGTTACACGCGACTTCTCATGATTCAAACACACGTGACTGGGCTCAACGGCTGGAAAGGCTTCTGAGACATCTACAATCCATGGAGGCTGTTCCAGCGTCTTTGGTAGGTGTAATGAGTGCCAGCAGAGACTAATTTGGGCGTGAACACAAGCTCAAGTTAGTGTCAGCGGGCCCTTTCGATTAGCATACCAGCCGAACAAGGCGAAACAAGGGAGGGTCAAATGAAAGATCATTAAAGCTGAGTAAAGGAATTGGCCTGAATTGCCATTGCGCTCATTTGCGCAGTAGCTCCGCGTTCTCAATAACGAGAAAACCCGAGCCCTTGGGATTACAGTACTGATTCTGGTTCTAGACCATGGCGATACGATGCTAGGCCTCGATCAAGTGTCACTAAACCGTATTGGTATCTCAGCAAGACAGATCAAGCGTAGATTTTGATCTCGTTACGTTGGATCGGGATCGCTGCAACCTCAAGTCGCAGCGCGGATGTGCAATGCCAGCTTACTGATACCCAGGGTCTTTTAAGCTTATGTTAATTTGACTTCGTGAAAAACTTGTCAATATCTCAATAAGATAGACCGAGGTAGACCATAAAAATAGCACCCTTTTTGCACCTTTTTTGACAACGCTTCACTCCTTTCAAACCAGACATGTAAGGCGGTCTTGGTTGTCGGTTGGTTTATGGTGGTCTACCCTAGAGACCCATCAAAATCTAGAGATGTAGATCTCGCATACGCGCTGTCCGAAATGGCTATTGGCTTGGCTGGCTGCAACGGTGCATCGGGACTGGTGTCCACAATCCGACGTGTATGCAGATTGTGTCGTCCGTAATCCTGATGATACCAACTCTCGCTCGGTAGGCCCTGTCGGCCGAGCTTTTCCTGGCAGCTCAAACAAGATGCTGGATAACACTCAGCCAACCATAATGGACGAGCTTGATGCGTAAGTTGAACATGCTCTATCTATTCATCGGACCGCCCACTTCCGCAACCCGATCTTCGGCCGAGACGCAGATCTTCCCCAGAATTGACGTAAGCAAGTCTGGGGTAGCGGGGTAGATAAGTTCGGAGACCTCGGGGGACAACACACAAGATGCTGACACTTGAACTTGGGCTGATAGGATATACCCACGTCATTGGACATAGCTACCACTCTTCAAGCCTCGGGAGTACAAATCGGCAAGTCTCATGACCGGCGGACGTGCGCTATAAAACCTCGACAAGTCCAGGCTCAAGAAATAGCCTCGTTCTCATCTGCTGCCTCTCGACAATAGCAACGCGTCGAGATGACCTCTCCGATTGCGATATTCGCTATACCGGCGGTGGTTCTAGCACTTCTCTTGCGGTTCATCGTCCAATCCTTTCGCTCTCCCCTGCGAACCGTCCCGGGACCTACCCTCGCCCGATTGACAGATGGCTGGTACTTCTGGAAAGTCTGGAAAGGCTCATTCCAAGATGTAAACCTGGATCTACATAAGAAATACGGTATATCCACCTGCCAATGCCTTATATACAACATTCACTGAATGCTCTGTCGCAGGAACGATTGTACGATACGGGCCCAACAGATATAGCTTCAACGACCCCGAGGCAGCCAAGACAATCTACGGTCTGGGCACTCACTTCCCAAAGTCATCGTGGTACTCAGCCTGGGCAAGTCCCGGCACATGGGCCATCTTCAGCGATCAATCAGTCAAACGTCACAACCAGAACCGAAAGCTATATCAAGCGACATACGCAATGTCGTCACTTGTTCACTACGAGCCCTTCGTCGATGACTGCGCCGACATCTTTGCCCAACGTCTCTCCGAGATGTCCAGCACCTCGACTCATCTACCTGTCGACATGCGACACTGGTTCCAGTGCTATGCGTTCGATGTCATCGGTCTGATCACATATGCAAAGCGCTTCGGATTCCTAGACAGTGGAGATGATGTTGGTAATGTCATCGGTGCTTTGGAGGACCACTTAGGTTATGCGACCCTGGTTGGGATTTTCCCAAGTCTGCATAAGTACCTCTTCAAGATCAGGAACTGGCTAGCCGGAGGGAAAGGAACAGGACGAGCATACATCTTGAACTTCACAAACGAGAGGATCCGTCAAGCCCAGGTAGCTCCCAAGCCCGTCGCCGCGGAGAGTGAGGTCACTATGGAAGACTTTCTCACCAAGTTTCTGGCTAAGCATGCTGCCTCGCCCGATGTCTTCACTCAATATCATGTTCTCATGGGATGTACATCGAACATGGTTGCGGGCTCTGATACAACGGCCATCAGTCTTTCGGCTGTTCTGTACTATTTACTGAAGAACCCGGATTGTTTACAGAAGCTGAGGGCCGAGATCGATGACTTGACAGCACGAGGAGAATTGTCAAAATCTCCCACCTTTAATGAAAGCCAGCAGATGGTCTATTTCCAAGCTGTTATCAAGGAGGCGCTCCGAATGCATCCTGCCACTGGTCTCCCACTCGAGAGAGTTGTTCCCGAGGGCGGCGCGACAATATGCGGACGATTCTTCCCAGAAGGAGTAAGTTCATTATGATGAAGCTCAGAAAGTTTGAGCTCGCTGCTGACGAAAGACCCAGACTATTGTCGGTATCAACACATGGGTAGCTCACCGCGATACTCGAGTGTTTGGTCAAGATGCCAATTCCTTCAACCCAGACAGATGGCTCACGGCCGAAAGCGAGAGAATCTCCATGATGAACCGTTACTATATGCCTGTAAGACTCCCTCGGCTGAAGCGTTTTATCATATCACTGACGAAAGACCATTTTAGTTCGGACTCGGCTCACGAAACTGTATCGGCCGACACGTCTCAATGCTTGAAATGTCAAAGCTAGTCCCACGAATTATCCGCGATTTTGACTTCAGCCTCGATTCATCTTTGCAACATAAGGATTGGCATACCCAGAGCTATTGGTTCGTCAAGCCGTTGGACTTTAAAGTGCGCATTCAACCACGTGTTCTGGAGAAACAGAGGGCATGAGGGAGTCAACCCTTACCTATGCTTATTGAGCTTTACCTTAGTTTATGTGATCTTACCTAAGCTTAGTTGGCTTTAGTCGTTTGTTTGATAACATATACCTGCATTGACAAGATCAATATCCCTTTGTTCAGTTCTGACTTAGAAAAGCTGATACCTTTTAAGATTAGCTCACTGTATTTACATTGAGTTTGTCACTAAAAGAGAGGTACATCTTGCAAGTAATATGTAAAGCCTTGATATTCTATAGATGTTGCTAGCTCGTGACCATTGAGGGAACTATCTTCAAGAGGTTTCACTGATCAGTTTTTCAGACAGCTCCCAAAGCTTCTCCGCCTCTTCGTCAGACTCAGCCTTAGGATGAGCACCGCTGCAAATCTGACAATCTTCCAAGAATACACCATAATTCTGCTTTCCTTCTCTTCTCTCACTCGGTCCAAGTTTGGGATCCAGCGCCGCAACAACAGTGGTTGACCCCCCAGCCTGAAGAGTCTTGTACTTCACCCCCCTCTGGTTTCCTACCTTTGAAATTGCCTCGCGAACTTCAGAGGGCATATGTCTGCCGAGTTCTGTCTCAATCCATCCTGGAAACACCGCCAGAGATAAGATTCCGTAACGCTCGTACCATCGCTTGTTTGCGCCGATGCTAAAGAGTAAATTGGCGACTTTGCTCTGATTATACGCCGCCAGAGGAATGTAGCTCAGCTCTTCGACATTAAGAGATCCCCATGCTCTATGCACGTCGTAGTTGGGCCTCTCTTCTTCCGGAAGGTCCTTGTTCTTCTTCTCAAAGTTGATGTCGCTCCATCTCATGTACGCCCACTTTGGCGATCCACTGGACACGTTGATGATACGAGTTGCACCTTTGGGGCTCTCCTCAGTGGCCTTAATAAGCTTTGGTAAAATGAGGCTGGCGAAGAGGAAATGGCCAATATGATTGGTTGCGAAATGCATCTCGATCTTCTCTGGGCTGTACGTGCGTTCTGGGAGGAATGCGACTCCAGCATTGTTAATGAGCAGGTCTATCTTCGGAATGTCATCTCGACAGAGAAGTTCCGCAGCAGCGGCGCGAACTGACTGTTGGCTTGAGAGGTCGAACTGGATGATAACATAGTTCACTGTAGGATAGAGACTCTTCAACGCATCGACGCTTTCTTGAAGTTTGGTACGAGAGCGGCCGGTGATTATGAGGTGCGAAGGCCCTTGTGACGCCTGAAATTCAGAGGTTGTGGTTAGATGCATGCCCTTATATGGATATCGAGTCACATTTCTCACGTACCAAAGCCTCAGCTGTTGAGTAACCGATTCCGCCTCGGTTCACGCCGGTCACAAGCACAACTTTGCCAGAAACCTGTGCAGAGAAGGCTTGAGCAACCTCGAGACCCTCTGTGTCACCATTGAACTGAGAGAATGTTGTTGCCGTCATCCTTACGAGTATTGGCTGATAATAATGAAATGGAGTACAAATGGAGAGCCTGAGATGATTGTGTGAAATATCCAACTTCCACATCTTTTCCAAGCGGGAAACCCTTTAATTTATAATTGCCAAAATGGAGTGAAACTTGGTGATCGTCATAGTGAATCACGCTTATTGTTATGATTCAATCTGAGATGTTCGGAGAATAGATACCATCATGGATTTAAGCGGAGTTAAGCGATTCAACCCCAGGATTTCGGCGAGCCGATGCTCAACTCCGTTGATCAGTTCTAAGCTACGACTTCAAGTCGGGCTCAGAATACCTAGACCTTTAGACTTTCGGTGACGTCTAGTCCGTTGAGCCCGGATTGTCGGTAGAGCTGATCCCGTGGGGACCGAGCTGTAAATCGGCTTGTCGAAAGGGCCAGATGGCCCGGTTTCGCGTAAAAGGTGAGCAAATGAGTCTATTCATGTAGTAGCCTCCACCTTGTTTGACTGCCTTTCTTTTTGAGATAATCAGGCAATGATGATGCATGCATTAGGCTATTCCTTCAAGCTCAATCATGGCCATGTACCAGAGTTCACAAGGGCCACGAGTTGAAGAGGGTCAATTTGCTCATGCATTTGCCACGGCTGAGAGTTGTTTTTGGAATGGCTAAGATTATTTTTCATCCGTGGTGAAACATACAGCCTTGTTGTGGTGCTCTCTGGGTTCTCGTTAGGGGTAAGACAAAAGCAGGCTGTGACAGCCCGCAGTGCCAAGAATCTCATCACCAATGGCTATCCATCATCGGGAGAGAAGCTGAAAAATATTGCACATTGCAACTGAGCTATCGAACGCCACTGGGTCCTGTAAATTGTGATAGGGGTGACTGACAGGATTGTTTCGAAGGGTACTTGGGTTTAAGGATCCCCCCTTCTCAAACCCGAGAGCCTTATTCTTGGTGACTCATATCTTGCAAGAAACCGCTTTGCAACCTGGACAGACTCAACATAATTTTTGTCTGTTTTCTGCTATATCTTCAGACTCATATAGCGCTTGTGCAATGTGACTCGATAATTGGCTACACTGTCACGGATGGAACGAGTATCTTTTCCCTTCAAACCCCAAGACGACGTTGACTAACCAAACCCGGGCAGCTGAAACACTAAGCTGCCCAAGCTGAGCATCCTTCCGCACAACGTATACCTTCTCCAGAGACCCAGATACATACGGGCGTTGGGACTACTCTACTGCTGAAGGGGGTAGCAGTTTCGAATATCGAGTCGGCACGTCTTGTATCGATAATACGGCCTACTTCACCCACTGGATGTTGGGTTTGCTCTGATTCTAACCAAAGCCTCGTTGTAGAAGTCTGCAGGCAGCTCGCCAAGCTCATTTCTTGAGGCTGAGCTGGGCCAAGCTACTGCCCGCCCACGAGGGTCCCATTTTCTGACATTGCATAGACAAACTTCATTCCCCGCACGGCTGCCTATCCCTTACAGAACACTATATACCGGGAATGTACTAGTCCTGCGAACTGTATCTCCACTGACAGTTCGAGTGTCGACCAGCCCTGCCACTTTCTCCGTGCCCACGCAGGGATACCAAGAAATGTGGCTTCTCCTCTGCCGTTGAACTTACTGTAAGGCAAACACCCTTGCAGTAGACTACCATATAACGATATCAGAATAGATTTGAGGTTGAAAAGAAAAGATTTAGAGCTTTGTACCATAGTGTTGGTGTTTTGTTTCCTCTTGTCTCCCCGCGACTATACGGAGGTATTCGTCCTAACCGATATGCCTTGGGCGGTGATTGTCTCTTGTGGCTAATATATAAACATCGTTCGCTCCCGGCAGCCGACCGATTCTTGTCACAACTATCTGTGCTCGAACATCCCCTTTGTATGTCTAAAACATCCTTTTATCCAAAATTTGACCGCCAATATCTCATTAGAGCCCCGGACTGCGGTAGCTTACCAACTCATCATGGGTAGCTTATGGGGAGGTGCTCACACCTTTACTGAATCACCATATGATCAGCTATGGTTACTCGATGGCGGGTTCAAGCGCGATTCGTTTGTCTACTACGGTTCGTGGGAAGAAGACAACTCTATTGTATACCGCATCACCACCAACACGGCTACCGTTAGCAAATTCCTTGCCCCATTCACGCCCATCAAAGCAAACTATGTCCTCCTCAAGGTCCAACTTTCAGCGCCAGATGCAGCATACAACGCACTAAAGGCAAACGCTCCCCAGGGTATGCTCCCCCCGGATGACTTCAAATCAGCCCTAGGAGACAAGAACTTTATGACTGCCGAGCCTTGGGCAGGCTTTAGAGGTTCTGAAATCAGGGAGTTTGTCAGAACCAACGAATCTAAGATTCTCATCGAGAAGAGGGAGTACAACACTATGAGGGTCTACACCATTGTTTGGGCACCGAATGGCGACAGGTGTCGATTAGAGGGCATGGATAGGTTTATCTGGAAGGTTATTGGCGGCGAGCTCAATGTCGACAACTGGACAAACTTCATGCGCCTTGCGGTCTCTGTCACAGTTGGAGGTTCAAACTGAGGTTTGACCAGATGCCAGGTGAGCTGTGACAGGATACAGCGGACTGGGCAGAGGGGGTGTAGAACATCGATAGTAAAGATATTAGATTGAATTAAACTAAAATGTGTGGGTATAAAACTACCAAGCAACGATTTTCTCCCTCGAATCCCAGCGCCAATGGGTACTTCATAGTCAGTAAGCAAATCACGAAAAAAGAAAGAGAAGACCTCAGATAACGGTGTCATAAGTCGGTAGCGCATCATAAAGGTCTTGTCCTGCCTGGACTTGTTCCTGTCCACTTATTAGTTATCATGTCTTGGTAGCTTGATTTGGCGAGACTCACATAGGTTGGCACGTGGTTTATGCCTGTCTCATGATGTCCCTCGACGGCAATCTGCAGTGGGAGTCGTAGCATGAAGCTCGAACCATGCGCTCTCGAAGCCAAAACGACTTCCAGGATATACGTCCTACTGATCAGGCAAGAGTAAAAGGTCGGAAGCAAGATCTTATTATCGGGGCTCGGCAACGCGATGGAAACAGGCAAAGTGGCTGTATGTCGAGGCGCTTCCGCCTTGATGATATCACTACTCTTCGATCCTCTTCGAGAAGCTGTGCGAGGAGGCTCTTCGCCCATGGTAGAGTTCTCCGAGCCTCTGCGAGAGCTTGGTGCTGAGATTGAAGCTGATGTTTGTTCCCAGTGAGGCGTGGGAGAGCTAGTAACCGTTGCGCTCTCATCGAGAACAAAGCTCAAGATGGGATTCGGCATCACGCTGGGGAAGTTGTGTTGATCTGGTAGAAAGCTAAGATGGCCTGTAGAGTAGTATGTCGATGCTTTGATGGTGGCTGACTTTGCGTACATCTCGGGTGGAGTCGCTTTCTTGGAAGTTGGCCAGAACTCGAGATCGATATTGAGTGAGCATTCTGATGGTTGTAGCTTGTCGGCTGAGATGGTGACGGGATCCGGTTGCCGTGTGGTTGCTCTGATGTAGCCTAGCTTAGAAGAGAGAATGTCTTTTCGGATTGACTTCTCATGCGTCAGAGTGAATCGCGGGTTTCCGGGTACGATATGCAGAGGAGGCTGCTCTGGAAGATAAGGCATGACTTTCACAGGATGAGTTCTTTCCAGAACCATGGATTTGCCCTTATCGGTCTTGAGCAGTGCTCGCGCATCAACACCATAGTTAACAGCAATGGTATGAACAGCCATATCATCGTGCTCCCAGGATCCAATAGTCGGCGGTAACTGCAGATGTCGTTCCCGAATAATCGGGTTTCGATGCTTGCAAGCGGCGCTGGGTAGTTGGTATGGAATAACGAAAGAGAAAGGAACCTCGTAGGTTTGACCAGCCTGAAGCACTCCATCGGGTGGAAGGGCACTTTCTGGAATTGGCATTCGAAGCTGAAGGAACTTGTGTCCTGATTTAGGCATTGTTCCTTGATGAAACATCTGAACCAGCGTTGTTTCAGAGCCGGTGAAGACTATCTCGAATGCATCGACGGTTAGATCCGCGCTCGGTGAGAATGATACAGAGCCGGTGATAGTCGAGCCTGAGGTATAGATCTTGGCCTCGAAGTGCCGATCAATGTTGACTTCGAGAGGACATTCTGACTTTCTTCGTGTGGGCACCCAACTTCCCCTACGCTTTGGTTCCGCTTGTATGGTGTTGATGGGTGTAGTGTTGAACAAAACCTGGGCAGCCGACATTTTGATCGTGTTACTCGAGGAATTGTTAGCGCTGATAGTGAGAAAACTTGATAACCTCAGTCATGAGCTGAGAATATGATGTAGGTTTATGATGAAGATGAAAGAAGATAAAAGAGTCTTCCCCCCGGATACTTGAGCTGACCTTTCAGTTCCGCCACAAGACGAGTTGGGACTGCCAACACATGACCCTTTATCTCAGCCAAGGCTCTGGTCCGCGGTGATTGGCCATCCTGGCCGACGCGACGCCCTGGTAGTGCATTTGGCCATACGTAATTGGCTAACAAAAGCCGACCCCAGACTTGGAGCCAAGACCTCCGATTCCCGCACGACTTCACGCCCTGGGACTGACATTTGCCAATTTCTCATCACAGTCATCGAGACAAATGATCAGCAGCTTACCAATCGCAATGTATCACATCTCAATGCTGACCTGCCAAGTCGTCGCATATTCCTTGATGGAAATACTCACATTCTAGGACATTTACAAGTATTTCTGTAGGGAAATCGCTATCTCCTCGGGCTGCCACACTCCTACGAAAGCCAAGAACTAGCAGTAAGCCACCTATCACTGAGTGAGGGGTACCGCCATGATCACAGGGAACAAATCAGCCTATAGTTATCTCGAGCCAAGATACGCTGGTATTTTTCGCAAAAGACTGGCTCAAAGATAAGGCGTCGGAGATAGCTGTGCCGCGCTAATCCAAGAATTGTTTTCCTGATGATGTTATCACCGGCTATACGGCGAGCGACTCGCCCTCTCGGGACGTTACCGGCCGTTGGGGAGGTTATTGATTGGGTTTAGTGGGATGACTTACCCCAGACTTTTGCGCTCGGAAGTGCAGTTCTCGCATGAAAGTGGATGGTGACAGGCGGTTAGGGCGGGTTTTTGTGGTGGCCGCGATCGGCGGGGAAAAGTGAGAACAAGTGAGAGCACACTGCCGCAGGGGATTGCTGAAGGTTTTGTACAAGCGTGCCTAGAATTTGGGCGTCAGTCGGAGATGCTCTCATTTGCCACATCACATGCTTTAACTTTATTGACTTGGCAGCCACAGCCGCCGACGTTGCACTTGGATCGATTATAAATCGGATTGAGTAAAAGGCGTTGAGGCTCTGAGGAAGCAGCTTAAGCGGATTTGAGCGAGAACTGAGCGAGAACTGAGCTCTGTTGCGCAGAAGCACACGACACCTCAGTACACCATCAACAATCAGAAATCTCTACACATGGGGCATCCTCCAAAAAATGAGAGCAGCTCCACAAGCTACCCCAAATACAGTGGAACAATATCCATTGCTCTCATCTCGTGAAGTGGGCTCGTAATTGCCGATGAGCTTGTTCTCACTCAGCCGCATCTCAGTGTGGTCATTCAATTGGATCGAGAATTTTCCACGGCTCCATTTCCCCAACGTTGATCAGGAACTTTTTCACGACTCCTCAATTATATGGAGATGGAGAGAAAAAAAAAAGAGAACATAACTTCCGAAATCCCGCTCAAGATCCACCGACTCCATCGTCAACATCCGACCGATATTGACAGATGGATCCGATGTGACGTGCTTGGCCAATGCGGGGTCTTATCTCCATGAGGTCAGCTCCGATAATCCACCTCAGCTTCACAATGAGACCATTGTCTCGGTAATTAGTTTTGGTGTTTCCGAACCTTTTGCAAATAGTTACATATTCGACATGACAAACTTTTCAAGTCCTATCGATATCGGGAGGTGTTCATTGAGGCATCGCGTCGTGATGGCGCCGATGACGCGCTTGAGGGCTGATGAAAATCACGCACCGTTGGATATGATGAGGGAGTATTATGCTCAGAGAGCTTCAGTTTCCGGAACACTTCTCATCACTGAAGCGACGTTTGTTTCGGCGAAATCACGGGGCCGTGACGAGAACGCGCCAGGCATATTTACGCAGCAGCAGGTCGAAGCATGGAGACATGTAACGGACGAGGTTCACAGCAAAGGGTCCTTCATCTTCATGCAGCTATGGCACGTCGGCAGAGCAGCTCGACAACATGCCCTGGACAAGGCTGGCCTGGAAATGGTCAGCAGTAGCGATATTCCCATCAGCAACGAATACCCGACACCACGGCCCATGACGACCGAAGAAATCTGGGAGTGCATCGCATCTTTCGCCAGCGCCGCCAGGAATGGCATCGACGCAGGTTTTGACGGGGTCGAGATTCATGCTGCCAATGGATACCTCATCGACCAATTCACGCAAGATACGTGCAACAGACGAACAGATGAGTGGGGCAGCAGTATCGAGAATCGGTCACGGTTCTGTCTTGAGATTGCGAAAGCTGTTTCACAAGAGATAGGCCCGGATCGGACAGCCATTCGACTGTCACCTTTCAGTACGTTCCAAGGCATGCGAATGCAGGACCCGGAGCCGCAGTTCACCCATCTGATCTCCCAGTTGAAGCATCTGGGGCTCGCGTACCTACATCTCGTTGAGCCCCGTATTGCCGGAAACGCGGACAGGGAGACCGACGACAAGGAAAGCCTTGACTTTGCGCTTGATGCATAGGGTTGGGTCGGACCAGTCATTCGAGCTGGAGGTTACACAGCGGAAAAGGCAAACAAAGCCTTGGAAACAAGTTTCGAAGACCAGCCTGTTGCGTTTGCCTTTGGAAGACACTTCATATCTAATCCGGATTTGCCGCTCAGACTCGCGAGGAATCTTCCCCTGGCGCCGTATCAGAGGGATACCTTTTACAAGGTAAAGAGCGAGGATGGGTACACGGATTATCCTTTCAGCGAAGCATGGAAGGGGGGACAAACGGTAGAGTAAACAGCGGTATAGAGAGTGATCAGTTTGTCTGATACGACATTTTCGTTGCTGCGTTTGTTGGCGCATGGAAGATGCTGGATGTTCACAGAATAAGTGACGCTAGGCCGCCACATGAGTTTGGGACCGGGGTGCCTTGAGACGAGATGAGATTGAATGCTAACGTCTCAGATAATTAAACTCTCAGTGCACTCAAACAATATTCCAAAGCAGCGGAACTTGCTTGTGAGTTTGAAGGCATACATGCGCTACCTCAGTTCCTGTGTGAGGTGCGTGGCATGAGAAGCCGTTTCAACAAAGCCGATAGTGGGGCGCTGAAACGCACGGTCTTAAACATACGATGCTTGACCAAATTCAGCAGCACAAAGAGTGACGTCTCCAACGCAACGACTCTTTTCACAGAAAACAAACAACAAAACGAGTGAAACAACTCTTACGTGGCCGCCTTTATTTCGCCTTCTTGCGCCGTCGAGCAAGATTGGGTTTCCGCCGTTGACGCCTGAAGAGTAACACACGTGGCACATCACATGACTCCGCAACCGCAATCGCATCTACCGCCTTAAAATTGCCCGGCATTCTTTTGTGCCCGCACTCACCATAAGCGACAACATACCCTCTCGTCCACCTCACACCTCACTCACACATCCATCCGGAATCTTCGGCAATGCAAGGCATGTCGTCGTCATCCGCCGATAATGCTTCCTGATGCGACAATCGACAGTGCAGCTGAGAAGCTTGCCGCGTTCCGAAATAACAACGCCCTCAACGATATTCTCGACCAGTACGCTGTTCTGATCGAAGACTATAAACGTCTTAAAAGCGATTATGAAGAAGAGCGTGAGGGCAGAGAGCGCTACAAGCAGCTCGCAAGAGGTCAAGAGCGTAATCCTTTTGCTCTCGTAGTCGTCGATGGAGATGGTTACATCTTTGACGAACGCTTCGTCAAAGACGGTGAAGAAGGCGGGAGCAGAGCCGCCAAACAACTCAACGATACTATCAAAGATAGTCTACGCCGCAAAGGTCTCGAATCCTGCGAGGTCATGGTCCGCGTCTACGCCAACCTCACAGGCCTGTCAAAGGCCCTCTGCAAAAACGGTCTCGCCGGTGCAGAGAAGCGCTCATTCTCATCCTTCACAGCTGGATTTAACCGATCTTACGGTCTCGCTGATTTTATCGACGCGGGTGAATTAAAAGAAAACGCCGATTTTAAAGTCAAAGCCATTCTCCGTCTCTACGCCGACAACGCCCAGTGCAAGCATATTTACTTCGCGGCCTGCCATGATGTGGGCTACGTATCCGACCTTATCCCCTTTAGGGGCAACCGTGAAAGATTCACGCTTATTCGAACGCCGAGTGTGTTGTTTCATAAGGAGTTTGACAGACTTGGCATGAACATTGAAGAACTCCCTGGTGTATTCCGCCATGTACCACTCACATACGCTTATTCTACTGCGCAAACAAAGACGGCTCTTACGTCGTCCACCAATATCAGCAAAGTCATCAACTCACCATACACAAATTCTACGATCAAAGGAAACTCGAATGATGGGAACTCGGTCTGCAGCTTTTACATGCAAGGGAATTGCCGATATGGCAGCGGCTGCAAGTTCTCTCACGTCGACAGTAAAACATCCAGTCAGAATAGTACACCTTCGCCATCTACAATCGGCACAAGCACAAAGAACTTGACGAGCGATTGGCGACGCGGTTCCAGCATCGCCAAGAGTAACATCGAGTCTCTTCCTCGAAAGGAAGAAATCCCAGACGGTTATGTGGCTATCAACGCAGTCGAGGACCGTCTCGACGCATACTTACCCCCACCTGATCCCGATGCCGCAAGGCGTCTCAAGATGCTATCGCAGGAGAAGAAATTCTGCAATAATGCACAGTTGTATAATTCATGCGACAGCGACAACTGTGGATATGAACATGCGCCGATTGATAAAGAACTGCTCCCAGCGCTTGAACATCTTTCACGTTCTGTACCTTGTACGCGTGGAGGAGCTTGCCGAAGAGCAAACTGTGTTTATGGACATGTGTGTCAGCGAGCAGATTGTCGTAATCGAGCTGGTGGAAAAAGCTATTGTCGTTTCCGCCCAAGAGTTTGCATCGCAGACTATTCTCCTGCCGACTACGTTCCAGCCATTGATCCGCCTATGATGTCCCCATCCCTGCACTCTGAAGATGTTGATGGGCGCAACGCAGAAAATGGAGGAACGAATCTGTGGGGAGATCAGTAAACAACTACAAACTACAACGGTATACCGCACATGCAAAGTGGAAAGACTATCTCATATCTCCTGAACCTGGTACCAATAAGAAGTTGGTGGTTTCAATGGATAACACCATTGACTGTGTGATGCCATAACATCACACGCCTGCAACCTGTATCAGCAATTCAAGTTGTAAGTCATGTCATAGTTGGGAAAACTCTATTGCAGGCGATGTATCACTTAGAGCCATCAAGGTCTTTAAAGTTCATTGGGAGCTGTTAGAGAAACTGATTAATGAAAGCGCTTAGATGTAGTTTACTCCGTAATTAGCATTAAGTAATCTAATAGTATTTCTATTATTTTAAAAGGCCTTAAGTTATATTTAAGACTTAATATCCTCTGTTAAATAGTTTAGCTTTTATAAGATAGAACTAAAGAAGGTAAATTAATTATTTCTAGAGGTAAAGTTGACTTGAAGGTCGGGAAGAGTAAAGGTTCTTATTAGAGCACCAGCGCATTTATACTTTACGGCCTGACTTACTAAACGTTTATTTAACTTTGCACTGAAAGACGCTCATAGCAAATGGCAGCACCCTCTCGTGGTGGTGGCAACAGCCTCTAACTTTCGTTATTTTCTGTAAATATTTCATAGATCATCCCACCCAAGTAGCCCAATGCTGCAGTAAGGCTCGGAATAGTCATCTGAAGTGGGATATGACTTATCACGGAGCTCTAACTCTAATTCTCGAATAAAATTCAGCGATGAGCTGAAGCCATCATTCGACTTATCCACCACAGGTCTGACGTATTCCCATTCCTTTTCCATGCTGACCCAACTGTTGCAATTTACTTCCAAAAACCTCCTATCACTGGCATAGAAGGCATTGATCTCGTAGCCATTGTCTGCCTTTTCTTTGAACGCTGGGGCTTCTTTCTTTCTTCTCAGGGAGCGGTCAACAAACCAAAGTTTCCAGACATTGGGCCACATTTCAAAGGCAGCCTCCATGATTTCCCAAACATCTTCAATCAGGCAGAAAGGCGTTGCCCTTGAATGAGTCTCATCCCACCACTTTGGGTCGTACTCTAATGCGACGTGCATTACCCCATTGAAGCCCTCTGCATCAAACGCCATTGAAGCCTCTAATCCAAGTAAGCTCCAATTGACGTTTTTCAAGTCATTACACTGAAGGACGAAAAGATCCCGGTGGGGAAAGGCTGTCACCGGATGAAGAGGTGTACCGTCAAAGCAGCCCGTTGTAGCCTTTTTGAAGACTTCTTTTGTTCTGTCGTGTCTTGGGCAAGTGTCTTCGTCATCGCGCTTTCGATTTGACTGTTCGAATCGTCTTTCCATGATAAGCCGTGATTCATGACAAGCTGTCCATAGGCCGCCATCGATCAAGTATGTTGAGATGTTCTCGTCGCTGCGGTCCTCGTTGAAGTTCTCATAGTATCGGCGCCATGAAGGTGCAGCCCAGCTTTTACTTATTCTGTCATCGTATCTTAAGAACTGGCTCTCGCTCGTGTTCTCCTTTGTGTTGTCATACTGTCCGAAGATATGTACACCAGGACGGTCATCTCGACCAGCGAAACTCCAGATCCGATCCCGAAGCTCTTTGGGAAGCTCTGCGAACCTCTCGAAAGAAGCCATGGCCTGATAAATTGTCTTGATTCAAGAGTGTGTTGAAAGTTTGGTAGCGATAGTGGAGTGGATCTTTTGTGTTGTGGCTTTTGACGTTAGAGAAAATTATCTGGAAGAAGAGATCGTAAAGTGCAGCTTGGGATTTGGCATGTTATATATACCCTTTCTCAAACAAATTTTCCGACCTGACTGATCCCACTTTTGTCTTTCGCTGGGCCAAATCCTGTCACAAATCACAAATCACAAATCACAACATGGTTCGCTCAATGTTTGTTTAGCTAATATTGGAAGCCTATTGGGTTATTTATAAATCATCGCCGTGCAAAAGTCAGCATTCTTTCCATGACGAAGTGGAATTCTTATAACTTGTAACCACTTGGCTGGCCACACAAAAGTAAGAAGCCTTTCATGGTCACTTGGAGTAAACCTTAGCCAAGAATTAAAACTTGTCGCACACCTGACATGGACCTCGAATCACAGCAAGCATATGTATCAACATGTGTTTTTTACCTTTGTGTTGGGGCTGAAGCTTCCTTTAGGCCTTATCAAAGAACGAGACCAACAAATCGATTCAACAGCTTGGTTTAAAGCGACCACGCAAGCCAAAAATGAGCTCCATAAACTTTCGGTCGCCGGCTAGGGCGGTTCTCTGCACAAACTCCTAATTACATCATCCCTGGCGTAGACCTCGTGTCAAATCGAGAGATCTTGCGCACTCTTCCCAGCCATAGTAGCTTCGTTTCAACACAAATCCAGCCTTAACTCGATTTCCAACTCAATCGGTCTCTATCGGTATACCCACACAAGACTAGAGTCATTGGGACTTGAATATCTTGATAGACCTGACAGCTGATGCTTACATCACACGCCTCACACGAACGATGCAAAAATAGCCTTGTTGAGAAATTCCCGTTGAGCGCACATTGGACTTCTAATGCATCGGTTTTCTGTTCATTCTAATTACTCGCCCGATCCTTAATAGCATAAAATGTGTACATTGATCGTGTTCCTGGGCCTTGGCATCGTTAGTCCTGAAACTCCTTTACCGAAGGCTAATTAAGTCCTTACCTTCATAGAACAAGAACTGAAAACTCGATTCCAACGTCCGGACCCTTTCACCCTTGTCGTGTTATGATAGCCACTTGCGTTATTTATTCCATGGAGCCGTAACAGCGATGCTTTCGCTGAACAATATGGATGAAATGCGAATATCGCCATGGTCGAAGGTCGAATACTCTGCTCGTACTGTGTGCATCCCATGACTGTGTCGCCACTATTGTCAGTCTTCTTAATTTCTGTCAACGTGATACCAAAGACTTTACCGAACAATACCCAGAATTCTCAATCAATACCTCTCTTATTGTGTCCCTTTCCACCTCAGTGTGCGTCTGTGTGTTCACTGTCACCAAAGAACAAGATCGAGCTCCTGTAAGATGTTTAGTCAATGCTAAGGCAAGAGACAGTCTGAACCTCGATGGGGGTCTGGAAAGATGTTATACCTGACTATATTCCATGCTGTATCTTTGGCCATCTCGTTATTGTTAATCTGCTAGTCATTCGTAGTCGTCAAGGTTTATTCGTTCCATGATTAAAGCTAGCCATCACGTTCGTCTGGTTCATCGGTTAGGCTGGTCCCTTGTGAGGCATTCGGTTTATTCGTTTCCTTCGTTCCGCTTGTCCGGTTCGACCGCGGTTTGTTACGTTCCGTTCGCTTTGCGTACCTGGTTTAATAATTAGCTATGTTATTAGGATTCTTGGGATGCTGGGGCTGCTTGGGGCTGCTTGGGGTTGCTTGGGTCGTCCACAATCGTTAACACTTGACTTGATCCCTTTCGTGGTGATAATCGAACGAAACTGTTCATCCGACTATTTCCAAGAATAAATTGCTTCTTCGTTGGGTATTAGGTTGTTGATTGCTTTTCAGTGCTTCAGGTGATCGTTCAGTGCGTCCGGTGGTTGTTTGTAGAAGTAAATTGCTCAGTTTTGAGCTGTCGAGGTGTAGTGATTGAGCTGTCGAGGTATTTCTCACCTTGACTTTGAGCTTGATGATGGGCTTGATAATGAATTTGCTGTGACTTTGAACTTTGCACTTTGATTATGAACGTGATAGCGGTGTAATGTTTTGTAACTGAACTGAAGACTGAAGTTTTTTCTTTGCTTTGTGATGAATCTGTCAAGTCTCTGATGGCCTCCCCATCTTCGTCTTGTTGTTGTCCTGCTTTCACCTGGAGGAAGGAGCTGGCCTGGGTGAAAGCCACAGAAGATGAATGCTTCATCGCAACTGCCGTGACTACGTGAACCTTCACTACCGAGTTGTTTCTTGAATTTTACGAACCATTTCACGGTGTTTATGACGGGACATGCTTATACTGGTTGTTAAAAAGGGTTCATCTGCTCTACCTTAAGAAATGACTTGGGTAAAATTCATGAAGAGATTATACAATTTGATCTTCGCAATCAAAGAGATGTTTCTCAAGCTTACCTGCCTTAGTGAGCAGATCTAAAATCCTGCAATGAAGCCTCCCCCCTCTCTCCTTCTACCCTCTCAAGAACATCCATCAATTGAGTCATGAGTGAATCACTACTTCCCCAGATATTGAATGCAATGGCAGCGACTTCCATCTGGTCATGCCCAGGTTGGAATCACGTGTGTCAAAACTTGAAGCCTCGCGATCACGTGCCTCGCGCTCGAGCATGTGAGGGTCTTTGCCCGAGTTCTCGGTGCGACTCGAAGAGTTGTTTGCGACTCAATAAGAAGGTCTGTGTTTCTCGGCGGGATGTTGAGACCATGCCCCAGTCCAGAAACCAGGCGGGGTGAAAGACAGGCCGGGCTGGGTTGACTCGGTAAAAGTCGTGTTTCTGCTTGCCTGATCCTCCCCTTCAACTTCAATGAAGACGATGAAGGGGACGATAATGACGAAGATAACGCTTACACCACCGCCGACGGCAAGAACATCGGATCTTTCCCCTCCGCCAGTGACTTGGATCTGCTCAAAACAGCTAATAACGATGCCTCCGACAAGCCCTAGGGCCGAGAAAATCTTATCGAGATCTCCGTTGACTCAGTGCGCAGCCGGAAACTCTCGTCGAGCCGTTTGCGCTGCCTCAGCCTTGGTCGTCATCAGTGTACGAGGTGTCTTGCGCTTCTCGGCCTCAGGAGCGCCCATCTTTCTAGAGCCTCGGGGGCCTTGTTGATAGTTTAAGGGTTCTCTTCGAGGTTGAACCGTGTTCCCATCTCGACTGATGTGTGGGCTCATGGTATCGATGGTCGGCAGGTCAGTTTAGTTTTCAACTACGACCTTCCCAGCAACCTTGAGAACTACATCCACCACAAGCTTCCAAGCCATCACCTCGCACCGCCGTGACTTTTTCGTTTAAGCGAAAATGACAGATCCGACGGCGTTGAATGTGACAATCTCAGCCAGGTATCTCGCACTTGGTAACCTCCTTTTCGTGTTCGTACCCTAAGAGTGGTGATCAGTGTGGGATTCAGCATGAATAGCAAGAGATAACTATTTGCACTTACCGTGCGTATAGTCCGGGAGGTTCACATCAAGCCTAAAGTCCTGGAACAGGGGATAGCAAGACATAAAATCTCACAAGCCATCCCAACCAAAAGGTTTAACGTGGCAGCAGAGCCGTCGGTCTTCCTATTCTGAGTCTTCTGTAAATCGCCCTTGACGATTTCATACCCAACACTCGTCATCATCTTCATATTCCAATACCTTCAACACATTGATTGAAGACCTAAGTCTGTCATCTTTCTCTTCTGAATGTGGCCTGGTATGAAGGTTTGCGTCCCCCAATTGACCTCTCTAGACTTTCTGTTGCAAGTATAGAAGGCTACCTTGTGATCTTCTCGATGTCTCCTTTTCTGTTGGGTTTATGGTCCGTTTCCATCGATGTTGCGAAAGATGTTGCAAAGCACTCCTGTCAAATTCCTCACTCGCGATACCATTCAACACCAGTGAGTTCAGCCCCAACGAATTGAATATCGACGCCAAGCGCAGATGAACTTGCTGTCGGAATGGGATTTGTGTTGCTAGCCGTGCCAAATTGTATCTGTGACCATGAGCCACTCGCTAGAGTCTGCTTATGTAGACGATCGATGGGGATCCAGGTCCTCTGTTCATTGCGGAAATGTCGCCTTTGCGCGCCCCGATCATTGAGTTTTTGTTTGTATTGTCGCCTTTAGACAGAAACGAAGCGGCCAATGCATCAGCAATGTCCGACAGGTAAATATTGAAGAGCCCGCAAGGCCACGGGGCGATGATTGTACAGGTGATATTGGTATGAACAAAGGACTTACAGAGTGATGACCTAGTCTCCGGATGACGTAAGCTACTTATACCTGTCCGCCAATTACTTCGTAGTCTGTGTCATCGCTCTCGTTTGTTTGACTTTGCACTCGGATACGTCGCTCGCATCTCAGTCACCAACGCAAGCCTTAGACCTAGTCTGTAGGAAACTGTAGTCCTCATTACTTCAAGAAGACCGAGTGATTCGAATTTTAGTTTTGTAATATGTTCATTCTGCCAGGTAATATTGAGTTTTCCCCCACGTTGTTTACGAGATACTTTATAACAGCCCTCGATGTAGTCTTGATAAACTCATCAGACACTGGTTCGAGTCAAGCGACCTTACATTCAGAAACTCAGCCCTACGACCCTTAAATACTAAGCATTTAGTATGTTAAACACTCTTCCTGGTTAATTGTTTGGCTGACTCAGCGCAGCCTTCCTTTTCGATCTTGGTGATTTTGACTTGTTCTGTCAAAATTCAAGAACTTACATTACTGCCAATCTACCGGAAGGTTAGAGACCTCCCACGATGGCAGGCTACTCTTATTAATTGGGCCCGCCTATCTGAAATCATCGCCAACGGATGTTGCAATACAGTAACATGGCTCTTTGAAATGAGGTAAAACATCTCGGCTGGCTCTTTAGAGCCACTTGCTCTAAAGACTAGTCAAATCTGAAATAGGAGCTTACAATGAAGACGACTTGTAATTTTCCTCACCGGTTCTACAAATAACCATAATTCTAATTCAGATTCGTGTTTCCAAGTCGCAAGCCAAAGTAGACTGATAAGGGTGAGCGGTCGCAATCAAAACCCTGCTCTTGTCCTGGTATTTAACATGGTCTCTTCTCGATGTCGTGACTTATGCGAGCCCTTATGATATTGCCCGTTGGCTGTCACAAGTCATCCTAGCCAAGCAGGTGAACCTTGCATCAAACCCTGTCGTCCTCCGTGTAACCATACATTTCTCTCCTACTTTCAAAACGTCGATCATCTGCTTCAATGTCGAGAGACCTAACGAATTCGGCTCCACAGGTCCAAGGATTGCCTAAAACATTGTCGACTGGCTCGATGTGTCACCACTCTCGGAGCGGGTCCCATCGGTAGTCGACCTCGAAGAACTTCCTGTCCTGTACGTGGAAACTACAGTCGTCGGGAGAGCCTCCTTTCGGAATAGGTTCTTTGCTCTTAAGGTTGTGGTCGATTACCCATAACTGCGCTCTGATATCGCGAAAAGCATCACACATTACATTGAAATCTGTCAAGAATGTCCTTATGCAACTTGATTCCCATTCGGGGTTGAATTCAATCCCAATATTAATATCGAATGGGAAGCCACCGGGATTCAGATCTTTTCGAATGTCACGGGCGACCTGGGGCCGGTTGATGTTCTCGATTTTGGTGGGCTGAAGCACAAAGTGATCTGCCTGGGGTTGAACCATAAATAGCTGTGAAGTGCTGCAACGGCCAATGGCGGGCAACCTTTTCTCATATTTGAAGAACAGATATTCACTTTTTGCATCCCTTTCGAGGGCTTTCTTCGATCGATCCGTGGTCTTTTCCATGATGTCCCGTGACTCCTTGCAGGCACCCCATAATCCGATGCCGGCCATGTATGTAGAGACATTCGAACTGCCTTTGCCTCCATCAAGGGCAGGGAAGTACTTCGTCGGCTATGGCGATGCGAGTTGTTGCTTAGGAGGGCGGGCATCTGAGGTCGTCGCATTGAAAGTTTCACCATCTTGTTTCGGTTCTGGACCCTGAAGCTCAAAGATCTGGACGCCTGAATTGCTACGGCGAGAAGCATAGTCCCAAATGATATTCCGTAGGTCTTTGGGCAGGTCGGGAAAGTGTCTGAAGCTGGCCATGGAAGATGGATTGGCCTAAATGTTGAGGTGCAAGGGCCAACCACGTAAGACCCGAGGGGATATAGACACGGTGGAAAAGTTGAACAAGTAAATAAATGGAAATAGCAAGCAGGGGGGCAATTTACGTTCATATAATTTCACTTTAACTTCCTTTATACAACTTGCAAAACTCTAGTAGGAACATGCGCCAGTTTGTGACGAGACGAAAGTTTATGGCATCTTCCCGAAAGGCAAAAGCCATAAGTCGTCTCATCTTTGGGTTAGGCCAATCCATTTTAGATAAAGCCTGGGTTATAGCAGAACATCCCAAGTTCTTTCAATATGACTTTATTGCACGGAAACATAAGCTTCATGGTTGTCCCTTGACCAGAAGTTTTAGAAAAATGATCTCTGTTCCTTGGAGGATTTCTCTTCTTGAGCTCACTGCCTCTCAAGTGCTCTTTAAACTCTAAGTAAATGTTAACACTACCTAGGCACTCTTCACCACAGCCCATTGCAACAATGAGGAGCCTGTGCCCCGTGATTGGTGTTCCGGGTCTGCAAGAATGTTTTAATTCTCAACTGAAAGCTATTTCCGGGGCTCTGTTCAGGAGTGTAGCACCCCTCACCCAAATCCCGATCCTCATCAGGGACGGGCAACTCTTTCCAGCTCACCGTACCTGTTCCATCCTTGTAGCCGTTCCGCAAATTCACCAATCTCCATGATCAATTCCCTCGATAACCAGTCGCATGGTACAGAGAATATTGCTCACGTTTGACCAGTCTAGATAACCGGACAGAAAATGATCCATACCTGGCTCTGCCGACCTTGTAGTCTGGCCGAAACGATGTTCCGTAGCAAAGTCTTCCTTTATGATAAGGAAAAGCACGTAGCCGACAGTCAACGCAATAGTGACTCGTTTTTGCCGAAGATCATGAGTTCCACAGCGGTTAAGAACTAGGGGTCGACTTCAGGCCACACTATCTGTTTATGGTTTACCGCCAATCTTGGGAATGCTTGGTTCTTTGATCTTCGCTAAGGCGTCAAATCAGAAGCGACTTAGACAATCTAGACCAACGCCGTGTCTTGGCTGATCGGTCACTGCAGGGCCCAGTCGCGATAGTTTCACGCTATCCAAGCCACAAGACCTCAGCCCTGGGATGGCTGAAAACATTTGGGATCTGGAGGCGCTTTAAGAGCCATTATTTCCCCCTTTCCCCAAATCTGTTGTTGCCCAAATAGTGCTTTTCCAGGATCTTTTAAGCAGGCATCGTTAGAAGTACCAAAAAGCAAGAAAAATGCGCAAGTTTGTGTTGTTAGGCGCGATCTTTGGCCGTGTATCGGCGACGTGCTATTACCCCAACGGTATCAATGCAGCAAAAGACTACAAGTACGAACCATGCGGCAACTCAACCACGACATACTCAACATGTTGTTACTTCGGCGAAGGCGATAAATGTTTGGCAAATGGCTTATGCAACCAGCCAGGAAAGTATGACTACCGCGCTGCCTGTCAGAACAAAGATTGGTCAAACTGCCCCGAAGTTTGCATGGACAGTAAGTTACCCCCAGACGGCCGAACAGAAGATATACCTAACATTATGTAGCGGAGTCTGGCACTTGGTTCCCATTGCAGACGTGCGGAAAGAATAAGTATTGCTGTCCTCCAGCAGACGGAAGCGATTGTTGCGACAGCGGCGCCCAGATCTATACCCTCAAAGCCCCCGATCCAAAATCCAGCACCAAGACGAGCGATGCGACGAGTACTTTCCAAAGCGTGATTCGGACGACCATTATACAAACCCCAACCTCAACAGCAAATCGCGGAGATAGCTCAGTCAAGAAGTCATCAACCCCTGCGATTGTCGGAGGTACAGTCGGTGGTGTTTCGTTCATCGGGTTCTTGTTTCTTGGAGTCTTCTGCGTCTACAAGCGTCGTGATCGCCCGTCTACTCCGCATGCGACCGCAGCGACTCCTGAGAAGAAGGACGATGCCTCAAGCGGCAAAGGCAACGCTACGGTTGAAGTCTTAGCTCAGATTGGTGCTGCAGAAGCTGAGGGGACGGAGGGTAACAGGTACACCGAGGTTGACTCGCGGGCTGTGAATGGTACCCGCCCTCCACTTGCGTACCCTGAGGACGATGGAATGCCACAACCTGCCGATGTTACGCTCCTTCAGCAACCATACCCCGAGAATGATAACATGCCACGAGCTGGAAGACCAGGGCATGGTCTTCGGGGACAGGCTATGAGAGGGGCAGGCAATGCTTCAACCGAAGCAGATTCTAACCCAATCTTACATGCTGACTCTAATGCTATTTTACATGCCGACTCAAACCCCATTTTCCATGCGGATTCAAATCCCATCTTACAGGCTGATTCCAACCCTATCAATGAAGCGCCTGATGATGCCTGGGTTAGGCCCCGTATGACGACCGTTCCAAGAAGCGCGCCGCAAGAACTTCCATAGCATTTTGTAGACTAGTCCGCAAGAGAGAAATTGTATCACATATTAATAGTGACTTGTCTTGACGTTCGTGTGCGTGCCATTACGACCCCATCACTGTCTCCGTGATATTGCGCGACGGTGGCGAACATGTAAGGTAGTACCCGCCGTTAATTTCAACAAGCGGGTTTAGCTCAGTTGGGAGAGCGTCAGACTGAAGTCAAACTTCAATCATCATTCGATATCTGAAGGTCATGTGTTCGATCCACATAAACCGCATGTTTTTTGCCATTTCTACATGGTATAAATAACCTTTTTTGCATGGCCCGTAGACGTCATGTACTCTTTTGCTTACGGGTAATCACTAAATTAATTTTTTGCGCAATACCCTGTGTTCGTAGTTATGGTGGTTCCTTTCATGACTGGATGCCCTCTCTCGAGGACATATTAATTTGACCCCATCTTCTCGAGTACCGACCGGTTCTATAGATTGATGTTTTTAAGGTTCAAGGCAATAGCTGTGTGATCTGTTGACTTGATGATAAGGTTGTTGTGTTTTCTTAGGCGTGGTGTATGATGCCTTCTATTGTGGTTGTGTTTGGGGAAGAAAAAGCACTATTGTGTTGCCTTATGTGTGGCTTCGGCATTACTTCTTTCTTGATAGATTGATGTTTACGGAAGGTGACAATTCTCCGACATGGGATGATGAACCCGGGGTTACCAGATCCAGTTCTGATCATCTGGGCGCGTATAGCTAACGTATTTGATAAGCGAGTGTCCCAGATAAGCGAGTGTCCCAAAAATCCTAACCTTCTCAATTAAATCAGCAATAAAAACACCACAACCTATTAGATCAATTAAAATCAGTCACTATACTCTTCCATATTAACCTCAATTACCTCCTGACAGGTCCTTGCATTATGCCCAGCCTTGCCGCAAGTCCCACAGTGCCAAACCCTCGGTCGACCCGAACTTCCTTGACCACCACTTCTCGACGACTCGGCC